ATATATATATATGAGAAGCTGCATTTGGATACTTCAGGAGTAAATATTATTGTGTTTGTGTGATTTATTGATATAGTTGGACCTCAAATTAAAGTTTGCACTATGTCATTTAGCATTTGCTAATCAGTGAAAGGCACAAAATAAGGCTGAGGCTATTTGTAATTACATTTGCAGTTATTTAGTCATGAAACTGAGTACTGTGTCATTTTTATTTAGACCTGAATTAACTGAATTACATAACAAGTCAGTGTAACAAAAATGTTGCCGCAATTCACCCTGAGGAGAACATAAATGTCTGTCAGTCTGTCTATAAAAGAAGACTGTGGCCAGTGCGGTGTTACAGTTTGGTTTGGGAGTACAGCTTTGAAGCCTGAGAGTTTTGCTTTTTGCACGTCCTCATGTTGATTTTTAGAGGCAGATATGTCTGCATTTAAATAGTAAAAATGGGTACTGAATTATCTGCTAGCTTGGAAGGCAGGAAACATCTGTAGACTGTGTAGACTTGTGTGTTTTGCTGCTAATTAGCCCTCACTTATGAGTGAAATAATAATATGATGTCATTTATCAAAATAACTGGTGCATGATACCCTATTCAGTAAGTATCAGTCCAACAATGTTTGATCCCCTTCAAAGAACGTTTCGATAATGCTGCTTAACAACAGCTAACAGAGGCTAACAATTGCAACAGCGCTTACCAACAGAAAAGTACTGTATACACAATAACTTTACTTCAACAGGCAACAGTTCAAACAAAGCTGAGAGGTCCAGTTTAGCGTGTTTTAGCCTAACAGCCAGTCCCTGAAGTGCCTTGTGTGTGGACCATAGATAAGTAAAAGTTAATACAATTTGAATTATATAGAATTCACTCTTGTGGTCATAAAGTAGGATTTAGTGACAGAGATCAAAACAGTTTAACTACACATGGCTACAAACTGTATTCCTGCTGTAAAGTTGTTCATTTTAACACAGAGATCAATTGGGAGCCAGCCTTAAGTGACCATTTGAGGGACTGTTGGGCATGATTCAAAGTTACAGATGGCACACGCTAAACACATTTACAGGCAGACACGTGCACAGTGCAGACAATATAACAGTTTTGCTGAAAGAAAAGTCTTCATTCAACATTCATTTTTTCACAAATGAAGAACCTTTTGAGATGAATGATTCATACTTTCTACTCGCTGTCTGAAGTTATTTTAGCTCTAAACACATTTATGTGACCAGACAGAGAGGGTCTTTCATTCCTCAGTGAGCATTTCTAAGTGATACTGCAGACTCATGATGGCCTATTTCCATTTTAGCTGATGCAATAAATAAAAGTGCTGGATATAATGAATAACACGGAGTATATGTGTACAGTCTGGGGGGGAAACGCAGCGGCATAGAGAGGCATAAATAAATCCTCAATTCACTCTAACACTTGTGTCACCACTTCACATGTATTTCTGGTCATAAGATTTTAAAAGTGTGTGTCATTTTATATCCCGTTTTACCCGACTTGTGAACAATAAATAATGCAAAAATTGTAAAAAGGCTATGAGCATGTACACAAATGCGATTACAATGTTGGCTGTTCTTCAGGTAACGATGACCCCCTTGTTTCTGCTGTGTGTGTCCTTACCACTCATCTGGGCAACAATATCTTCTGAAGACCATGATAGTAAGTGGCCAAAATTTAATTGCTCCTCTTAATGCCTCTTACAAACTTTTTTTTTTTTTTTTTTCCAATTTTGACCCCTTAAAGATACTTTTTGTAAATACCCTCTGAAGAACTTTCACCACCAGGGGGAAGCATTTTACCAGCAGTTATATTAAGAGTTATGACTGTTAATGTTGAATGGCAGGAAAGTCCATGACAATTTGCACTGTTTAGGGTTCAGTTGTATTTGACCAGACATTTGAAATTTGAATCCAAAATAAAAAGTAAATAATATTTTTTGTTAAATACTGGTATGTCTTTGCCCACCCTAAGAAAATAATTTATTTTGTACCAGATAGTCTACTAGTCAGCCTTCTTTGGGCAAGACGTTTGCTAATTTATAGTCATGTTGTACTTATCTACCAACTTTGCGATCTTTAAAAACCTTGATATATTAATCTTCTGATGGTCATTTTTGATTTCAGAGAGTGTCGTGTACTGTTCGCCTTAGAGACCTTCAGTTTTTAAAATGAAATATTGATTTGCTTTTAGAACAAAGGGACACACCACAAACATACAATATTTCCCGAGAACATTACCCCAAACCTAAACCCTACAAGTCCCTTTTCTCCCCCTCCACACCCCCCGCCCTCCCTACCAACACATATCACCTTTGCAGCACAACCATAACATTCCAATGACACTACAGGTTAACATAATGAGCAAGGAGGAAGGTACAGAGAGCTTCAGTTTTGTTTTAGATTCCTGATACCTTTACCTATTTGTGATGACACTTCACCCCCTTTCCCCACTGGTCCTTAATAAGCAGTATCATTATTACGCTCTCGTGAGGTTTCAACCTTGTCAGTGCCACAAATTGGTTAATATTGATTCGTGGTCTGTGTTGTCTTATGTTTTGAAATGTCTCTTGTTGCTTCATCTGTCTTACTATTTCACACTTTGCATGAAATTTAACAGATGTTTATTGTGGTCCCAGATTTCTTGACCTGACTGCATCTCTGCACAGTATATTAAATTGCACCTCGAACAATTGTGCCTATCTTTATCCCAGATGTTGAAAGCACATTACATGTCAGCATCCCTGTGGAGATGCCTCTTCGTCCTCTCCTGGGGGGAAAGGTGGAGGTGCCATGTTACTTCTTGGATAAGAGCCTCAATGACACTGGAGCCCTGACCGTCGCCACACTCTCCCACCGCATTAAATGGACCTACATCACCAAGGACAAAGTCGACACCATCTTAGTGGCATCGCAGGGCAAAGTTGAGGTCAAGCAAGATTATTTGGACAGAGCGATGTTGGCTAACTACCCGCTGTTTCCCACTGATGCCACCCTGGAAATGACAGAGCTTAGGTCCAAAGATTCTGGCATCTACCGCTGTGAGGTGACACATGGCATCGAGCACAACTACGATACTGTGGAAATGCAAGTTCAGGGTACGATACGAAACCACTAACATCTTTGTTCACTTTAAAAGGGTGTAAAGCAGTAACCAATCATTGTTTGTGCCTGTTTCACTCAAAGTGAAAGTTGCCAACAATACACTTTGTTTTTATCTGAGAACTGCCCTCTGCTAACTTTATGTGTCTCATAGGTATTGTGTTCCACTACCGTGCCATCTCCACGCGTTACACCTTGACATTTGAGAAGGCCAAGGCAGCCTGTATCCAGAACAGTGCCACCATTGCTACCCTAGCCCAACTGCAGGCTGCATATGATGATGGATTCCACCAGTGTGATGCTGGATGGCTTTCTGATCAGACGGTCAGGTAGTGTTTACCCTTTTTAACCATCAAATGTTGAAAATACTTATCACAGTTGCAGAAGATTGAAGAATAGCCAAGCACTCAATGCAGAGAGAGTACAAGAGTACAAATAGAGCAGGTCCGTGATGAGATTCTGTCTCTGTACCTGTACCTGTCCAAAATTATAAATCCTGATTCACTTTGATGTTAGAAAAGTCCAGTAAGAGGTTTAATGCTTTTATCCTTAACAGCTTCAGAAGAAGTCATGTTGAACCATTGCCTAAGATTTCAATGTGCAAATAAGGCAATGAAATCGAGAAAAGTATTTTGTATGTGGAGGTAAAATTCCATAGCAGTCATCATAAATGTTCAAATATTGGACTTTAACATTTTTATCCAAATCAGAGATGATAAAGCAGAACATGTTGTAAGATTTGCTGCTTTGAGGTGGAATTAGCCTCAGGCAGCTCTATAGTTCAACAACACAGGTTTTGGCATCAATGACTACGGTCAATTTAGAATCACCAGTTTACCTACCACAAATGTCTTTTAGTTTAAAACTGAAAGCAGGAAATATGTGGATGGATAGTTAAATTTAAAAAGTATCTACTTTGCTGGGGACAAAACCACTTAGAATATTTACCTGCAATACGTTTCTCAGTTATTTCTTTTCTTTCCTCAAGGTACCCCATCCATCATCCACGAGAACCCTGCTACGGAGACAAGAGAGAACTTCCTGGTGTCAGGACCTATGGGGTGAGAGACGTCAACGAGACCTACGATGTGTATTGTTTTGCTGAAAAGATGCCAGGTAGGCTAAGCAAACAAGGGCAAGTTTTCAAAGCTCCCCATGATTCACAGAAAACCTCATAGCATAAATAGCTGCATCCGTTCACATCACTGTGCTTTCCTCTCTTCTTCTACCCTCCTTGCTTCCAGGCAGAGTCTTCTACTCTATGTCTGTAGAGAAGTTTAGCTTTTACGAGGCAAAAGATCAGTGTGCTAAACTTGGTGCCAGACTTGCCACCACAGGAGAGCTTTACCTCGCCTGGAAGAATGGTATGGACGTGTGTAATGCTGGCTGGCTGGCAGACAGGAGTGTACGATACCCTATCAACATCGCCAGGCCTCAGTGCGGAGGGGGCCTCCTGGGAGTGAGAACCGTCTACCTGTTCCCCAACCAGACTGGGTACCCCTATCCAGACGATCGCCATGATGCCATTTGCTTCCAAGGCAAGTGCTCTAGGAACTCTAGTACCCTACGCTGGTATCATGTTCTTTTCATTGAATGGTGTCTGTGGTCTGCTCCAAGCATATCAACCTGTACTGTGGCCAAACAACCCTACGTCTGATTCAAATCTCTAGAGCCCATAATTCCAAGAGGCCTGGTCATGGATGATTTTGTTTTTTTTTGTTTTTTTTTCTTTAGCTGTTGAGCTATTTTTGGAATTCAATAACTTTGCCTCTAAAACAGGTCACATTTGTATTATCGCTGTCAGTGGATGTGAAAGTCAAAGGCACATCCCATTATTGTATTTTGGGTACTTGGAGACCGACCTTTCCATCAAATGGTATGCTCTTGGGTTGCACTTGCAGAGGTGGCCAATCAAGCTACTTTTATATTGGTTTCCTTAGAGTTATGGTGTTTAAATCTATTCACTAACAGCAAAGAGACCCTAATACCTAGGTTTGAAACAGGTTTCACATCTCTTGCTTTAGGTTGTGATCACTAGCACTTAAAATGGCACTGCTCATTCTAATTTTGTCAAAATTTTATGTTTAAATACTTCTATAATAGCTCCTTTATGTTTTAGACACAGTTCCAAGTACAGAGCACTGTTTGCTTATTTAAATGCAAATTATGAGAACATCAGTATTTCCCTGCCCTTATTCTTTTACTTGACTATATTGCTCTTATAAATTTAATAAATATGTGAGGTGTTTTTCTAACTGGATGTGTAAATGTCTAGATGTGCTGACTACTAAGGCTATAATAATTTGTCAGTAATGCAATTTTATTTCCTTAGCCGATGAAGACAAAGATGCCGTGCCTGGGCAGACCACTCCATTCCCATACATTGTTACCGTGGCGCCTCCTGCTCAGGTGCCGGGCATCATCCCTTCATCTGAAAAAGAAGAGTCCAAAACTGGGGAAGTAGTTACTCTGCCTCCACTACCTATACCTCCAAGTATGACAGATGTAGATGCCCCTATGGCTCCGACTGGTACGCACTTACACGTTATAATCAATAACAGAATCCTCTGGAACATTTTTCCCTACATTTTAATAGGAAATTTCAGAGGACTACAATACAAGTACAAAAAAGTGAGGTTGCCACTGTAATCCTGTAATCTTGTCCCAGGTGTGGTGTTCCACTATCGACCCATTACCGGTCGGTATACTCTAACGTTTTTGAAGGCTCAGCAGGCTTGCCAGAACATTGGGGCAGTCATTGCCAGTCCTCAGCAGCTGCAGGCAGCCTTTGAGAAAGGTCTACATCAATGTGACGCCGGCTGGTTAAGCGACCAAACTGTCCGGTGAGACATGTAGCATAGATATATATCAAAATATACATTATCTTTGTCATACAGTACAGTGAGTTTTAGTTTGAAATGTTTTACTTTGAACTTTGGATTGCAGCCCTCATAGTGACATCAAAAGAAATAAAAAAATATTTCATATCATAATTTTTATTGTACAGCAAACCATGTCCTTATTAAACTGCACTTACACTCTCTTTCTTCCTCAGGTATCCAATTGTGTCACCCAGAGAAAACTGTGCTGGTAACCTTCTAGACCTCAAAGGAGTCAGATCCTATGGCCTGAGACCAGCCACTGAACTCTATGATGTATACTGCTATGTTGAACGTTTGACAGGTGAGGAGCTTTAATCACTCTGAGGACATCAAACTTCCACTTCTGTGTCCTCTACAACACTCTAAACAAAACTGTAACATCGTTCTAACAGACTGTTTAACCACTTCTGCCTGTTTGCACTTTCTGTTAGGTGTGGTCTTCTTCACCACTGACTATGGCAGATTCACTTATGAGGAGGCTGTGCATCACTGTGAGAAACTTAACGCCACCCTGGCCACTCCTGGGGAGCTCTATGCTGCCTGGAATCAAGGACTTGACCAGTGCAGTCCCGGCTGGTTAATGGACCGCAGTGTCCGCTTCCCTATCACAACCCCCAGGTCTCACTGTGGAGGCAACCAGGTGGGAGTCCACACCATCTACACCTACCCCAACCAGACAGGCTTCCCCAGTGAGGACTTGCAATATGATGCCTACTGTTTTAGAGGTAGGAATGGGTTAAGTGTGGATTCATTTATGTGCAAAAAAAAAAGCATTAATTTCATTATTTTCATAAATAAACCATTGATTTTATATATTTCAGTTGCATTTTTTCTCAGAATGATTGCTTCATGTTTATTGAGGGTGAAGAATCTTTTTTTATTGCATGGAAAGACAGATTTCACTGAGGCTCGTTTGAATAGAAAGATGCATTGTTAATCAGATGTTGAGTTGGCAATAAACCCTGAACATTGCCACTGTGAATCTTGATGTGTGCTATTATACACTGGGAAGTTATTTAAAAGTAAGAGATACATGGTTTGAATCAATTAAGGTAGGGATCAGTTGTTGATGGATACCTTAAAGATTGGAAAAGTAAAACATAATTGATAAAGAGGTAAACACGTGAAACAATATAGATGTGATCTTGTTGTATAGTCTGCAATGTTGATATTTGATGTTTTACATTTTTATTATAATGATACTGATACAACGTTTTATCTGCATGTTTTAACCATCCCAGAAAACTTCATCTGCTCACTGCAATTTGTTTCTTTCAGCTGAAGTTCCCGTTGTTTATGTTAACAATGAAACCAGTGTAAATTTGACCACAGTGACTGAGGATGTTATCAACAAGACAATAGCTATCACTGATAGCACTGGTAAGACACATGCATGCAAATAGCACTTTAAAATCCCTGCTCTTTTCTTGGCTTATTATTACAGTTGTAATGTTTGGTAAACAAAACAAAAACTCACAAAAATAAATGTAATATGGCCTTGCTTTCTACTGTGAATGCAGGTAAAAATTTCTGATTTTAAACCTTATTTTGTTTGCTTTTAGTTGCAACTACTGTAGACTACAATGAAACTGAAACCAGTACAAACATTACTGATATTGACTTTGTCAATGAGACCATCATCACACCTCAAAAAGTTATTCCTACAGGTAAGACAGCCATAAACAACTTTGTCAATCAATTAAATCAACTGACTTAATGTTTAATTCTACCTATTAATGTCTTGTGTCAAAATTTTGATGTAATAATTTAATACCAGGACTCACTTTTAAAGTCGTGAAGAGTTTGAGATACTTATTTGAGTTTTTTAAATACAAACAATTAATATATTAGTTTTTTTTTTCTTGAATGTCACATATATGTGTTACTAAATTGTCTAGTAATCACTTCTAAAGCCATTAGAGTATAAGCCTTATATAAAACATTTCTTATTAGAAAGTAATACAATAGGTTTTGTCAAACTAAACACAACAGGTAACTTTTCTCACTAAGCTATAATAAACTAATTCTTGGATTCTTGTCTGGATTCTTACGATTCCCCACAGTCAAAACCATTCCGGTACCAGTTGATTTTTCGGGCTCTGGTTCAGCTGAACATTCAGCCAATGGAGATTTCTCTGGAGAGTCTGGCACCTCCACCTCCAGCGGTGATGGATCTGGGTCAGATGTGGAAGTCAAGTTTAGCGGAGACAGTGATGTCTTCTCTGGAGACCAGTCTACCTCTGGAGAACAACAGGAGGCAGAAAGGGGAAGTGTTGACATCTTCACATCTGGAGAACCTGGTAGTGCATCTGGAGATCTGGGTAGTGCATCTGGATATCTGGGTAGTGCGTCTGGAGATCTTGGTAGTGCATCTGGATATCTGGGTAGTGCATCTGGAGATCTTGGAAGTGCATCTGGAGATCTTGGAAGTGCATCTGGAGATCTTGGAAGTGCCTCTGGAGATCCTGGTAGTCCATCTGGAGATCCTGGAAGTGCATCTGGAGATCTTGGTAGTGCATCTGGAGAAACTGGCACGGTATCTGGATCTGGGGAGGGGTTTGACAAAGAATACTCTGGTTTTATTACATCTGGATCAGATTCTCCCAGTGGAAGTGGGGACACCAGTGGCAGCAGCGGAAACTCCATAATAATCATGTTAGATGGAAAGATGGTGGAAGTTTTACAAACCCAGCAAAAGGCCACCGAGCAGGAACTAGGCCGAGCAGGATTTGATATCTTGGAATCAAGTGCATCTGGGTCAGGAGGTATGTCTGCATCAGGTTCCCAAGAGTTTTCAGGTCGCATTGACTTGACGGTCCTACCATCTCTGGAGAAAGAGTTGTCTGGATATCCCATTGGATCAGGGTTTCACAGTGGCTTTTCCAGTGGTTTTCCATCTGGTTTTTCTGGCAGTGGCTCTGCCTCTGGACACTCTTTGCAGCATCACGATGATGTTATCTACTTAACAGATGATGAAATGGTAGAAATGACTCTACCAACACTGGCACAACATCCTGAGCAGGGCAGGGGTGTGGTGGAGATAAGTGGGCAAGGAAGTGGTTCAGGGAAAAGAATTTTAGATCAAATCTTGCAGCCATCAGGAAGTGGCACCACTCTGAATTTGGAGGAACTGCAGATTTATTCAGCTTATGATCAATCGGGACATGAGGAAAAAGTGCAGGAGGGGAGCACACCCTACATCAGCCCAACCACAGTACCATCTGTGTCTTTAGTCACTCCTGCTGTTGTGGAGGAGCCAGAAGTGAAGAAAGGTATGTTCTTTTTGTCTGTTGACATAGCCAACATTTTGGGAAAGAACCTTATTTATCAAGCAAAGTGACTGCATAATCACTCATGTTAAAATGAATGCCTATTGTTCCTCGCTATAAACTTATGTAGACACCAGTGATCCAAACCCATGGAGCTTAGGATCTGAGTCACTGAACAACAGCACGCAAAACTGAAAAAGTTGAAGAAGCCAGATATCTTTAGTGAGACGTATATTTGTTTATTTGTTTTTAAGCTTTTTGTCCAAATGTGTGTAGCTGTGCAGGACTGTCCCGATGACTGGGTGGAGTTTATGGGCAGCTGTTACCGGCACTTTACAGGGAGAGACACTTGGGCTGAAGCTGAGAAACACTGTCAGGAACTCAATGCCCACCTGGTCAGCATCAGCTCCCAGGAGGAGCAGCAGTTTCTCATCTGTAAGTAACTGTTGGAAAGATGAGTGACCAGCCCTCGACATTATACAGGGTGGGCCATTTATATGGATACACCGTAATAACATGGGAATGGTTGGTGATATTAAAGTCCTGTTTGTGGCACATTAGTATATGTGAGGGGGCAAACTCCTCAAGATGGGTGGTGACCATGGTAGCCATTTAGAAGGCGGCCATCTTGGATACAACTTTTGTTTTTTCAATAGGAAGAGGGCCATGTGACACATCAAACTTATTGGTAATGTCACAAGAAAAACAATGGTGTGCTTGGTTTCAACGTAACTTTATTCTTTCATGACTTATTTACTTATTTGCAATCGCCTGAACGATTGTCATTATTGATTAATTCTGCTGTCTACCAGAAAATCCTGAAATCAAGTCAAGTTAATTTATTTGCATAGCACATTGAAGTATAGTAGAACAAAGTGCTGCAGAGCAAGTAAGAAGTAAAGAAAAAGTACAAATGATTTAATTTGTGCCCTGATGCTCAAGTGCATTTGTGATATAAATATCAAGTATCCAAATACGTTTTCACAGGACTGTATTTGCTGTGAGCCAAAAGTGGTAAACCACTGCATCACATCACATCAAAGGGCTATCGACATAAAACATGGGAAGGTTAAGTCATATTTGTTTGAAAGGCTAAATTGACGTTGTCACTTCCCAACAGCTAACGGTGAGGAATACCAGTGGATTGGACTCAGTGACAAAGATATGCAGAATGAGTTCCACTGGACAGACGGGAGTCCCCTGGTGAGTTTGGTTAGAGATTCAGTTGTGTACTCAGGAAGCCATAGCACCTTCTGGACAAACCTGATCTTTCTCAATCATATATATTTTTTATGAATTTTATGGAGATTTTGTATAGTTAGAGAATTCTTACTTTTTACTTAATTTTAAAGTTTTGTATTGGCAAAATATTGTTCTGTAATCCTTTTAGACCTTTGAGAACTGGAGGCCCAACCAACCAGATAACTACTTTGACTCTGGAGAAGATTGTGTGGTTATGATCTGGCATGAGGGTGGACAGTGGAATGACGTGCCCTGCAACTACTACCTTCCCTTCACCTGCAAGACTGGACCCGGTCAGTTTACTTGATTAAACATCTCGATTACTAAAACGTTTAGCTTTCTGTTTTTAGAGGTAATGTCAGTGAGGTAGCTTTATTTCGGCCAATCATAGCACAGAAATCATAACTGAAAAACATTGCAAGCACAAAACTCTTGATGGGGATGGGAATTGATAAGTATTTAGTGAATCTGATTCCATTATTGATATAACTTTTTCTTAAAAATAATGCAGGAGTCCAAGGAGAAAGCAATTCCTCATACGTTTCTCCGTAAAATGACCCGAAACACACTGTCTCACAATTACCATTTAACAATATAAAGCTGAGGCTATGGTCCAACACACCAGCACAAATCTCTACTCCAATGAGGACACACACACAATCTTTTTCTTAGCATTTAGATACAAACACAAAACTGACACAACAAAGCGAATATGAAAAGCTGAAGTTGTGTTAGCAGCATAATGCAGTTGTTTCTGTCCTGAAAGCAGTCTCCACTTTACCATCTCACTCTTGTCATTTTGTGCAATAAAAATAAAAGTATCCACGTTGGAGACTGCACCACTACCTCAGGCACACAAAATCAAATGAGCAAGTGCAAGTGCAAGTGGACTCAATAAGCGGGATCTGTAGGCAGGCACGCAAGCGATTCCAAGGAATTAGACTACTGGGAACCAATTGTGTATACAAGAACTGTTCTCGATTGTCATCCGTAATCAGTCATGTTAGCCATGTTTTAGAGTGAACCAGGAGCCTCGATTACACTATGATAACACCAGACTTCATTTTAAATTGTCAGCTCATTGAAATATTGTTTTTGTTTTCATTGTTTATTTATCTCTGTCAGTCATGTGTGGCCCTCCCCCTGAGGTGGAACATGCCCAGCCGATGGGCAACATCACGCCACGCAGCCCTGTCAACTCTATAGTCCGCTACCAGTGTGACGCAGGCTACAAACAGCGCCACCTGCCTGTCATACGCTGTATGGATGACGGACAATGGACAGAGCCGCAAGTGGAATGTACAGAAGGTGATTTATCATCCGTTTCTAACTTGAACCTAAAAGAGTTGGGCCTTACAGTCACAAAAAGAAAAACAAACCTGGCAGACTAACATAAAAAAGACAAAGGCCTAAACATCATAAAACAATGCATTATAATAAAATGAAAATTAGTTTTTTGTAAGACCCCTGATTGAAGACAATTGAACAAGGAACCTTTACAGTTCTCTGGATCTGGCTGAATTTGTAGTTGTGTGTTAAATAGTTATGGCACCGTTTCAGGAAGCTGCTCTGGCTATGGCAGCAAAGTGATAATGGAAGTGATGCAGCTCTTAAGGATAGGCCAGAGTCACTTGTTTTTCTTGAAACATATAATTATACAAAATAATTAAAAGACCACCAAAAAAATGGTTGAAGTCTAAATAAAAAGCAAGCGATGGCAAGTTTAGTTAGAAAATTGCAATCCCAGACTATGGGTGCATCAGACTAACACACATGCCTGCTAGTTAGTTACTGTATCCAGTAATAAAATACTTAATTTTGACAACTTTCAATACTTAAATTGTACAGCTACACAGAAAAACATATTATTAGTTAGATATGTGTAACTATAATTCCCCAACAGTGCAATCACTGTGGAAAGACCAAGGTCAGTTACTACAATTGGAATTTGTGCCGTGACAGCCCTTACACTAAACACAGTTTAAAAGTGTGAGTTGTTAATTAGCTACAGTCACCAAAATCGCTTTTGTATCAGGGTGTTAGCAAGTTTATTTTTGGATTAATGGTTGCATTTGAACATGTGGATTTATGGGAAGTGATTGTTTTTTAAAGCCGGCTTCAAAATCTAATATGCATCTGTGCCAAGATATTAATTAATCTCTTGCATGAAGCATAGCCTGAAATCTGTATTTTAAATCTTTATGCAGTACTTTCTAAATGTAGACAATACACACCACCCTTGTAAGAATCATATTTTTTAAGTTACAGGGCTGATTGTCCATTTCAACCAAAAAAAAAAACACTAAACTGACCTTGAAAACCTTGTTGGACGTAAGACAAATTTTAACATATTGTTAACATGACCCCACTCTACACCCCTACCAACAAATTCATTCAAAACTTTTTGAGCTATCATGTTTACAGATGCATGGAATGAGATATGGAATCAAACTGAATTAAACCTCTAGCTCTGGGTGTTCCTAGTGTTTTAACTAGGAATGCAAAACCAAGGCAAACAGAGAATGTATATTTCGAGTGAGGCAGGAGTAATGTTTTGTGCACAAAAAGTGTACCTCCAGTAACACTGACACTCTACCATTACACCAATAAAGATTTTCTGAAATGCATTCCTTAACCACACCACTGACTGCACGATAATTCTTAAAGTCTTCTGGCAGCTCACATTTATATGATGAGCATGTGTACCTTTTCTTCTGCTCAGCTGGTGCCAGCCATAACAGGCTAAACAAAAGATCCCTCAGGAGAAGAAGTAAAGGAGTGAGCACCCCGTGGGAGCAGAAACTGCCCTGAGCAGCACTGAAAGGACATACAACAGAGAGCCACAAAGGACCCCTCGTGTAAAGAAGCATGGACACCAATGCAAATGCCTGACCAAAAAGATAACATGCCCTCCCCTACCATGGATATCCACCAACTGAAGCACATTTAGACTGATAGTGTAACTAACTGATGTTTTGGGTCTTTAACAGTCACTCGTCAACTTCTTAAGGCACTTTTCTTTGTATTTATAACATTTAATTTATAGCTATTATCCGGTATTTTAAAAAAAAATCTTAACGCAAAATATTTTCTGCAATGTGCTGCCAGCACTGCAGACAAGGTCAGTCAGATGAAACTGTCCGTCAGTCAAGAGAGGCTGAAGAATAACATGCGAAGTCCAAAACAGCCCAACCATGTGGTTGACTCTCTGAAGTCAGATTCATTGCTAGTATAGGGTAAGTGTTTTCCAAGATCTGTGTTTCTTTCCTTTTTCTTTCTTTTTTTGTCTTTGGATCTAAAGACCGAATCTGAGTGATTCTGAGAACTGAAACAAACCTTTTTTTTTTCTTTCAATCTACATATACCAGCAGAGTGATGATAAAATCATCTGGTTGTGACAGCTGTTCAGAATGCAGTAAAGTCATTTCATCTGAATTGAGGAGGCTTTGAAAATTAGAATTTTTTTTTCTTAAATATAAGTAAAGTCTTGGCAACACATTGGTACAAAAGAACTCAATTCTTTAATCCTGTAGACCTGTGGTTCTCAAACTGGAAAACACCTTCTTTAGAAGCCAACAAAGGTTCCACCCCCCCCCCAAAAAAAGTCAGGATTATCACACCAGCTAACTCTTGTCTCATTTTTTCCACACTAATATTTTTTTTAAAACATTTTAAAATCAAAACAAACAAACAAAACCAATTAACAATAAAAAAAAATTCTTTCATTTTAGTTTAAATTCAGTTTGACTATAGTTTGTCATCCATCCAGTGCTGCCATAATTTGAAATCATCTTTCAAGCCTTAAATGATTTTGTCACAACCTCCTCAGTGCTAACACATCACCACAGCTTCAGATATACTGAAATGAATGTGCTGTTGTATTTGGTAACGAGAAAGTTCATGATTGAAGTGCAACAATCCTGGACTGAAACAGCAGGCACTCATGCACTTTGGAAGTTTTTGCTCATTTCTTTGCTTATCATTTGAATCCAGTGCGCCTTAAATTTAAAAAAAAAGAAAAAAAAAGTCACCTCAAAAACAGTGTGACCTGCCATCTGCTGGTGGAAAAGATGCTCTCGTTGTCTTTACAGTTGGGTAGATTTCTTAAAGGCAGTCCGTAACTTCTGTTGTTTTTAAAAAATATATATTTCTTACTGTAAATATTCTCAGCAGAATTCTCTGAACAGCAGGATCTGTCATAACTTACAACGCGCACGCAGTTTAATTGTTTTGATTTATTCATCATCTACTTTTTTGTCAGGTTGTTAGTTAGTTAACTGGAAAGTTACACATATGCATCACCAAACACATGGGCGTTTGACAGCCACCAGTACAGAGGAAGAAACAGGCTGGGTTTTTTTCTTTGGTTTGTTTATTTTGTGGAGGTTTCTGGCTGTGTGTCAAGTAACAGGGTATTATCGACAGACATTCTTAAAAAGAATAAATTAGAAGCAGAAGAAATTAGGAAAAATAATGACATGTAGGGTTCGTTTTGGGGTGGATGAAACGATTCTGAAATGTTGACCATGACCTGTGAAGGTCAAGATTTGCTTCACCTCTGAGACATTGCAGTTATTTTAGCGCATATGTGACCTTTTACAGACCAGCTCACAAACACTGAAACCTCTTAGTCGCTCATGGACAGGCATACAAAAGTAGATCATGGAACTCACAAAGCAAACGCTTACACATTTTTAGTTTTTTTTTTAATAACATTCAATTATATGAATGAAATCCATTGATGCTCCCTCTGTACTGCAGTACTGTACATAATATGTGCAAAGCTCAACCTGAAGAGTGAGTCTGTTTCAGTGTTTGTGAACTACTGGTTCTTCCAACAACTAAAATATCTTAAGAAATAAAGCAAAATGATCACATAGACGTAAATTCTGCTGTAACTGTTCAGATCCCAACTTCTGATGTGAACATACAGTATACCGTAATGTGCTGTACTGAATAAAACTTGGAATCATCTGTCTCCTGGAATTTTTGTCCTATTCTTAACGATTCAAGAGACATCAACATTTTCTGTTTGAAATTTTGTTTTTTGTTTTTTTTTGGTCGTTTTTATGGAAGCATCTTTCCCTTAAGTGGTCGAATTTGAGGTAAAGTCTCTGGAGCCAGAGGCACAACCTGGCATACAGTTTGTTTTTACCTTCCTGTGGAAATACACTGTGAAAAAAAGCACACGATAAATAGCTCCTTCATCGGCCACTACAGCAGCTACCTTCATCACTGTAGTCACAGCAAGCAGATCTGCTCTGTGTATTTCTACCAGGCAGTGTAGCTGTGTGTATATTTCAGGCATGTATACACATCCGTGTGGTGAGTCTGCCTTCGTGGTTACACGACACATATGTGTGCAGTGATCTGAGGTGTATGTTCCAACCTGTGCAGGCATGAAATCTGTATGTGTCCACTCAGGTAAATAGGATGTGTTTCTAAAATCCAGTGGCAGCATAGTCACTAGAACGTCTGTTCCCACCCACATGCAGGAGGGCGTAGCGACATGTTTGACTCCACTCATCTAAAAGCACATAGTGCCCAGACAGAGTGGCGCATGTTAGCTTTACATAAGGTGCCTGTTTTGTACGGCTCAGGAACCTATTTCAACTCTCCCGTTTGAAGAGTAAAGTGAAACTGAATCAGTACCTAGTGAGCAGACTTCTTAGTGGTTGTTTGCAATCTACAACAAACAGGAAATTCAATGAACAAATCATAGAAGGTGTTTCAGAGTTGCAAATCACACAATATTAAAGGATATCCAAAATATTGAAACATAACTAAGAACCACTCATTGCCTTTCACACTTTCCGTATTTTTTGATAGATAGACATATATATATACACACACATATATACACACACATATATATACACACACATATATATATATATACAGCAGCTGGATAGCGTAGTGGTTAGACTACATGCCTTTGGAACAGAGGATCACAAGTTCGATTCCTGCCTATCGAAGCAAGCCTACCGCAGACATGAGCGACACAGATAAATATGAAGGCATGCCGGCTCGGATGTCGCCCGGATCAACAAGGTCCGCATCAGGTGTTGAGGAACCAGG